ACTATGTCCGGGGAAATTGCCCCGGACAGGTCATGGATATTTTCTGGCATTTGAAAACAGGCACTTCTGGCTAGAATAAGCTTAGTTGCTCAAATTCTGTTTCGCAACCACTGAAATTGAAGTAGTTTTTTTATGGCTAGATATATTCTTGGAGCTTGGTACTATAGCTAGTGATAGGATTTTACGTGACCAGCTAGCCTTTGACTTTGACTCCACTGACCAAAAATGCGAGAAGGTACAGGCCATCCCTCAATAAGGTAAATCAACGTTTACGTTTAAAGATTAGCTCGGCTCTATTTTACTTCGTGACATACATGATTTATGATGAAAATTAGTTTTTCGGGCGAGACTTGTAGACCGAAAAAATGACAACACAAGACTGGTTGTAAAAAAATTGCGCCAAAGTAATTTAATTATCAAGCTCAGCTGCAAATTTAAACATATGTATATAAATTTTTTTTATGCATCTTACTGATGCCATTCTCAATCCCAATACCCATTTTAAGCGACTTTATGCCAGTCCAAAGTCTAACTTTTCTCAGTTTTGAAGGCATCCTCTGACAGAACCTTTATTGTTTCTGTTTTTGCAATCCCGTGTTGACTGACAGCCGTGAAGTCAGGATATGCTATCTACACAGGTGTTCTGTATTTGCATAATGGCTTCGTGCAGTCAAATAAAGATTTCGTGAAAATTCCTCCACGCTGTTAAACCCAAAGGAAACGGAATATAAAGCTACCTCGCTCACCCATTATTCGACGTTACATAAAGTCTAATGACAGTGTCAAAGGTCGGTGCGTGACGTGTAGGAAATCAATGTCACGATATCATGCATGGGAGTCACAGTCCTATAAACCATTGCCAAATTGCCGTTAACTTTAAAAATAACAAAGAGACAGCGACATTTGTGTATTACCAAGCTAAATCTCAATTGCACTTATAATTTTAGACTGATTTTATCCAAAAGTAATACGATTTTTGTACGGTACTTTCTCACAATTTCAATGTGGCGGTCATCGAAAAATCTTGCAAATTAGCAAACTTCGGGGAGGTCGTATCGAAAAACTGAAAAAGATCCCAAAAAAATGAAAATCTATCCTTAAAATGTAGAGAAAGCGTATTCGGAGGATTTATTTTGGCGTATTTATCAGGCAAAACTAATTTTCTCGAGAAATTGATTGGGTGGTTTTAGTGAGACTTCCTGCGTTTCCTGACGATAACATAAACAGAGTCCCGGACTCCGTAAAATTTTTGCTTGTGGAATCCGGAATACTGGGCTTTGGAATCCGTATTCCGAATCCACTGACAAGGAATCCGAAAACATAATTTATCCAGTACCTGGAATCTGGACTCCATAGCTTGGAATCAAGAATCCAATAATGTATTGGATGACCTTACATGAGACCAATAAACAGGGTCACTCAACGACAGAATGTTTCCAAATACGTCAGAGGTGTTTCATATGGTTTCTCTATACTTTAGAAGCCTGTTAAGTATTTGGTTAATTTTGGCTGCCCTAAAAGCTATTTATCTGTTCGGATGTTGTTGCTACCGCATGCGTACATATTGCGGACCTACATGTATACCAAGTGCTTTTGTAATCTGATATGATAATATGTTGAGTTTTGTTTGTTTGTTTGTCTGTTTTGGGAACCATCTTGACTTTTCTTGACCGTTTGGGCCATCGTAAATTTATCGTTTGCTTGTTTAGAAAACATAACTTGTTGTGCATTTACTGTACTATAGGAAATTAACACTCCATGAAATTAACGCGAATCGTTACAATTCGCGTTAATTTAAGTCGCGTTAATTTTGTTGAGCGTTAATTTCTGGGACGTTAACTAGGTGCAGCGTTAATTTCCGCGCTCTTAATTTCCAGTTTACTAACCCCAATTTTGGAACCTGTCCAGACATTCTTGACACCTAAAAAACATTAACTACAAGCTTTCTTTCTTTCCATTTACCCTTTATTTTTCATCTTTCACAAAAGCTAAGGCGAAGGTTTACAATATTTCGAGTTCATCTTTATCGTTGTCGCTGTCAGAAGTGATGTCAATATCTCCTCCTTTGATTTCGGCCAAGATAATCACGTTAATTTCCTTTATTATGAAATTCTATCTCCTTTTTCGCGTTAATTTTCTTTATTCGAAAGTCGTTTGCCCTTAAATTCGCGTTAATTTAAGTCGCGTTAATTTCCAATACCTTAATTTCATGGAGCGTTAATTTCCTATAACAGGGTAACATGTTTGGATTTGCGACGTGATGTTAAACTCGTCGTGAATTTTGGAAGCTCGATCGGGATCTAATTCATCGTGCATATACTTGGACTCTAATCTGTTTCAAATATGGAATACTTTGATGGAATAAACATACGATTTAAATACACGCGGGGGTAGAGTTTTCAACTGATTTTCGTAACAGATGTCTTTGGGAAACTTTGGTCGTCTCCAAAGTTTTAGGTTGCTACCTGTGAGGGCAATCAAGAAATACCTTCTTCATCTTCATACCTTTCTTCATCTATGTCGAAAAAAGACAAAATGGTGGCGGCACTTCCAGAAGGCTCCGTTAGTACTGACATGCTTAGTTTTGGTGGCGGAGAGATGGGGTAAGGGGGTGATGGGTGAAAATGTCCAAATCAAAAATTATGCCAATAGTTCCTTACTTCAAAAGGCTATCTCTTTCCCATTTCACAGTTTAGGAGCAGCTATACACTCAAGCCGGCAAAAAGCGTAATTATAATGTATACTTCCCAAAATAATAAAGCACTGCATCACGCAGTCGGGAGCCCAATGAACCCCCACCGAATGGTGGTCTTGTCTCATCTAACCTGCGATCAGGCGATTTTTTTTTTT